TATTTATTCTCTCTTTCTCTAATCTACCCCCCTCCTCCTCTCCTGCTCCTCCTCCTCCTTCCATACCCAATTTTCCTTCTCTTTCTCTACCTTTTGTTCTTATCCATGAGTGCTTAGCAGAACGGAAAAAAGGGGGAAACAAGGACGAGAATTTTCACTGTGATATTTTATACGTCTCCTTTTCGTCCTTCAAATAGAAAGCTTATTTCCCCTTTTAGATGTATTATCATCCAAGAAAGATAACGGAGTTACAATTTGCTACTATAATTTAAGAATTATGGTCATCAAATTTTCCTTATGTAATTTGTTTCCCCTCCCACTTTTTATTATAATAAATCCTAGTGTGCTTTTCTTCTTTCTTCTTTTTCTTTTTTTTTTTTTTTTTAAATATTTTCCCCAATTAATTTCTCCCATTTTACACGATTGATACGTTGTAATTAATTTAGGGTGGCAAAAAGAAGAAAAAGAAGAAAAAGAAAAAAAAAAAATAAGAAAATAAAAAGCGGAGGAAGAAGAAAAGAGGAAGAGTGACAGATTTTTGAGAAAGATTTTTTCTTTTTTTTTTCTTTTTATTAAAAACGAATAAAAAAAGAATAGATAAAAATATAGTTGAAATAAAAAAAAAAAAAAAAAAAGAAGGGAAATTGTAACGAAGTGAAGTTCAAAATGAATATTATTTTGGAATGTAGAGCGGTGGAACATGAAGGGGACTTTTTTAATCAAGAAAAATTTTTGTCAATTCCATTTTTTTCCCTCTCTTTCTCTCTCTCTCTCTCTCTCTCTTTTCTCACAAAACTACTGAAAAGGATATAGAGGAGGAGGAGGAGGAGGAGGAGGAGGATGATGATGATGATGGGGTAAAGGAAAAAAATTTGTATACTGAGTTAAGGATAAGTTTCAAGGAAGAGGAAAGAAACGCTTCAACTATTTCCTTCGGTGAGCGTATCAACGTTAGAAGGGATGAAGAAAATCTGCGATGTGATGGTGGTTGCCAAAGAGGGATGATACAAGAAGAAAAAAAGAAGAAAAAAAAAACAAGTAAAAAGAAAAAGAAAGAATAAAAAGAAAAAAAAAAAAAAAAAAAAAAAACAAAAAAAGGAAAGAAGAAGGATCGATTTTGAAGACGACGGTTTTCGAGATGAAAGTTTGATTTTTATTTTTACTCCTTTTTTTTTTTTTTAAAGCCAACGAAACGCTAAGGGTAGAAGGAAGATAGGAATGTTCCGATTGGTCAAAGGAAAGGAGTTCTCAAGGAACGGGACACAAAGTTTTAATCATTTCCGATTGATTCTTGTTCGACTACTCTCTACCCAATTACTATTTAGAACTACTAGAGGAACTAACTGCTAGTATAACTACTATTACTACTATTAGTAGTAGTTAAAAATTTCAATCCGCTTTACCTTCATTCCGTCGAAGTTAGTTCGAGGTCGTGGCATATCGACCAATTGCGACCGGTTGAACTATCTTTCAAACATTCCACGAATTGTACGAGTTATTATAGGGGTAATATAATATCCACTCAATGAATCTAAACATCGTTAAACGCTAGTAAGATCATTTTACATTACCGTTTAAATATGCTTTTCCATTGAAGAACACAACAGAGAGGGAGAGAGAAAGAGAAAGAGACTCGTTTTTATCTTCAATTCTATTTTATTCGATTATCAAATTATTTATACAATTTATTTAATAATCAATTTATACAATTTATTTTCTATCTTTCTTGCTTTCTTTTTTTTTTTTTCTTTTATAATGGTAAGACATTGTCAACATTTTTTTTCTTTCTCTCTCTCTCTCTCTTTTTTTTTTTCTTTCCCCTCTTCTTTTTATTTGAAAAAATAAGTAAAAAAATTGTACAGAATCGTAGTAACAGAGACATAGCTGAAACATAGGATGTAACGCTATTAGTTTATAATATTATATCCGAATTGTGATGTATTTAAAAGTTCTTTTTTTTTTTTTTTTTTTCTTCTTCTACCAAATTACATCCACCTCCACTGAAGTTCTCACACATAAATAAAATATTTATAAAAGAACATTCGAATTGATCGAAATCGATCGACGTAAGAAAAATTTTGTCATATTCTTTTTTGTTTTGGATAAAAGAAAGTAGTATTGGAATCGTCGCCGTAAAATTTCTACTATTTCTTACTATTTACAGACGAAATATCAAAGAGAAAGAAAAAGAGAAATATCAAAGAGAAAGAAAAAGAAAAAGAGAGAGAGAAAGAAAAAGAGAGAGAGAGAAAGAAAAAGAGAAAGAGAAAGAGAGAAAGAAAAAGAGAAAGAGAGAGAGAAAGAAAAAGAGAGAGAGAGAGAGAGAAAGAAAAAGAGAAAGAGAGAGAAAGAAAAAGAGAAAGAGAGAGAAAGAAAAAGAGAAAGAGAGAGAAAGAAAAAGAGAGAGAGTTTTCACGACTTTCACGAAACAAAATATTCGAAAATGTAGAAACACATCAACAGAGACACACACACACACACATACACAGAGAGAGAGAGAGAGAGAGAGAGAGAGAGAGAGAGAGATGGAAGAAGTGAAAAAGAGTAGTCGATAGACTCTCTCTCGTTCGAGTCCCATTCAAGTACGTCCCTTTCATGGGAAAACAAATGTGACCATCGACCTTTCAGTACAACCGCGAAACCAGTAGCGAGTTAACGTGTACCTGTACTACACACCGGTCGTGTTCGTAATGCAAACATGAAGCACACGGTGATGGTATAGGAAAAGGAAGATGGAAAGAGAGAGAGACAGAGAGAGGGGTAGAGAAAGAGAGAGAGAGAGAGAGAGAGAAAAAGGGATAGAATGAGGATAGAAAGAGAAAGAGAGAGAATCGGAATGCATTTGCGATCCCTCCGGAAAACCGACAAAGCTGGCATAGTAAATCACTCCTGGTCTGTCTGCCCTCTTTCTCCATCCCTCACCCTTACCTCACCCTCCTCTTCCCCTCTCCCTCTCCCTCTCCCTCTCCCTCTCTCTCTCTCTCTTTGCATGACCGACCCATATCCCATAGGGAACAAAAAACATCCACCTGGTCATTCTTTATATTTTATTCACGTTCCATTTCATCCTCGTCCAACTATACGCTTCTAAAACGTATGAGAAAGAAGACCGATCGAAAAAATTGTATAACAATGATCGGATAAATAAAATTTTTGTTTACGGACATACATACATACACACAAGTGCAACACAAACGTAACACGAATTTCTACCGTGATTTTTTCTTTTTTTTTTTTTTTTTTAACACGGGAGAACTATCGCATACTGAAAAATGTGGGTTAATGGATTAATGGTTGTTTTCTACTTTTTATTTATTTATCCTTTTTTTTGTTTTGTTCTTTTTTCTTTTTTCGTATATCATATAAAAATATTACGCCAAAGAATTCTAATACCTTCTTCTTTTTTTTTTTTTTTTTTTTTTCGATAATGTCTGTATACGTTTCAGGTGGGAGAGAAACTATGTTTGTATATGTATCATAGTGAAAAAGAGGGGAATCGTGTGTTACAGAAAATACAGAGGTTGTTATTGTTATTGTTATTTACGTTACTAATATTATTATTATTATTATTATTATTATTATTATTATTATTATTATTATTATTATTATTATTAGTAGTAGTAGTAGTAGTAGTAGTAGTAGTAGTATTTTGATGTTGTTTGTTGTTGTTGCAAGTGAATTTCAATAATTGGAAATAATTACAGAGAGAATATTAACAGCCGTGTAAATAGAGACGAGAGTGATTATAGTTTGGTTATTAGCATTTGATAAAATTAAACAGACATAGAGATTGTGGTTCAGAAATTCGTTGTTTGTGATTTGTTAAAAAAAAAAAAACAAAAGAAAGAAAAATAAAGTAAAAAGGAAAAACGTCAAAAATGATCGTTTTATTTTTCTTTTCGAGTTCTTTTTAAAGTAATTATATTTTGCTTAGAAATCTCGTGGCTGTAATCGTTTTGAAAAAATAAAAAAAAAAAAGAAAAAAATAAGAAATAAAAAAAAAAAAAAAAAGAAAAAAAGAATCAAATCGAATCGAATCAAATGAAATGAAATTACATCATCCAGAAAACTTTTGGTCCGTCCTGTACTTAAAAATACATTATGGCGTTCGTGTCTGATCGGTGAGTTCAGAAACGACCTTTCTACTACTTGTAAGAATTACTCCCTCTTGTCCGATTATACGACGGACTTTACTACTTGCCAACTCACATTTTACCTACTCTACTAGCGCCCATTCAAACTGCCTCAATATCACTACTACTACTACTACTACCTATTATTGCTGATACTACTACTGCCATTACTATGATTTTTTTTA